TGTAGCAGGTTAAACTCCTACCTATCCAGAATAGACCCAGACATACCCAACGTATGTCCGGCATGCAACGAGTCTCCGCATGACTGTGACCACCTCTTTGCATGCCCAACCGACCCCACCCATCTAACACCCTTTTCCCTCTGGTCCGACCCCGTCGAAACAGCACGTTTCCTGGGCCTCCCGTTAGATGACATCGACGAAAACACAGATAGCTATCACCATCCGAACGGGGACTGATAACCGTTAAAACAACAACAATAGGTTAATACAGGATATAACTGAATCTAAAGTAATTAAAATAGTCGGAGACCGTATAATATTGTACATATATCTTTGGCGTTTTGTCATAATATCTTAAGACAAACAATCCTATATGTCGACATTAACGACTTTGCGTAAAATCTATTGTGTTGCGTTTTTAGAAATCATGTTTAACCTAATAAGAAGATGCACTATTTCTAAAGATGAATTACACAAATTAAAAAAAAGAATAATTTTTTTTTAATAATATTTATATTGTTTTGAAAATTAACCACATACATAAGTAAAAAAATTAAAATATTTAGTTCATAACAATTCGCTATCTTTTTATATTTATATATTTAATATTGACACCTGTCGTTAATAAAAAAGGCCAGCACTCTGATAAATTAAAAATAAATCTTGTTATCTATCCCCAAGAAACGTGATGTTTCGTCGGGGTCGGACAGTCAGATGAGTGGAGTTGGTGGCAACTCAAGCTCAAGAGTTCGCCTTCACTGGAAGAGAGTCGGTGAAGGTTCTGATGGCTCCACTGTGAATGCGCGGCGAACGAAAATTTAGCAGATAATTTTAAGTATATTTAAGATGTTCTGTAAAACGACATATTTCACATACTTATTATTTTTTTTAATATGTTTTATTTGCAGTCTTTTTTTTTTTAAATAATAAGCAAAAACATAATTTGACTTATCCAGTGATGTCAATAATAATATACAATATTCATATCAAATGTTCTTATTTCTAGTGCTTATATTAACAAATTTAATACTAATATTTAATACCATAGTAATATATCTTATTAAATATTTATTACTTAAGGGGGTATTCTGGTTTAGAAGCCCGAATTTTAGGTATTTTTTTTGGCGCGATAAAAAAATGAAAAATTATTTTAACATGCTCTTTTACATGCTTTTTATTGATGTTCGAAGAATACAAAACATAAATAATATAAGAAAACAAATTAAATTTTAAAAAAATGCAGGTCGGCGAAGTAGAGACTGATGAAACAATGTCCTGATGAAACAATTGTCCTCATCCTTTCCGTGGCCTAGAAAGAAAATTTTTGAGAAATCCGTGAAGAGTAAAAGTGTAGTTATCGCACTTCGAAACGTTTTTGAAAATTTCGTATTTTCTCTGTTTTTTGTGGTACGGAGTTAAAAAAAAAACTATCGAAAGCTCTTCTTAGGGCGACACTATTGTATAAGAAAGCTCTGTGTAAAATTTCATGTGAAAAATATGCAAAAAAAAATCGGTTTTTTCGAATTTCTACACCAGAATGCGCCCTTAATTCCTAAATGGGAGATTTTGAATATGTTGTCTTTTGAGTCTAGTAATTTCATTGCTGTCATCAATAACATGATTGCCAGAGGATTGTCATGATAACTGATTCTGTGTAAATATGCTGTACTAACTCTTTTAATCTCAGTTTTAACAAAAGGCATATTAAGATCTGAATGAATTGCTTTATTTGTTATAAACCAAGGGGCGTTTGTAATTAGTCTTAGGGTTTTTGACTGAAATCTTTGTAAAATTTCAATATTTCAATTACTAGCAGTGCCCCAAAGCTGCACACCGTAGGTCCAGAGAGGTTTTAGTATGGCTTTATAGAATAGAACAGAATATTAATTGAGGTAATGCACCGCGACCTAAGGTCTATTGTGCCCTCTCCTATATCACATGACCTCTCAGAGCCCCAGCAGCCTGAATAGTTCTAGGAGTTTTCCGGGCGCTAGTGAGGTGATGTGATCTCTGCTGATGTAAACAGAATCCAGTGGTGTTTCCTGTTCCAGGTCGCAGAATCGGCAGTTGGCACAGGAGACCATGCCCATGTTGGACTGGTGCTTCCTGAGCTTACTTTGCCCTGTGTAGATTGCAACGAGGAGGCGGAATTTTTCACATGGGGGAGGTTGTATCCTCCTAGAAGCAGCTTGGCGTGGCGCATACTTGCTGCCTGTCGCCAGTGCCGTTCTCTCTCCACTCTCTCCTCCGTGCTGAGCAGCTCTTTAAGAGTGTGGGGTCCTACCGCTATGTATGGCTCCGGTCCCAACATCTTTGACGYTGCTGCAGTGCGGGCCAGTTCGTCGGCCTTCTCATTACCTTCTACTCCCTTGTGCCCTGGTACCCACATTAGGTGCACCCTCTTGCACAAGGACAGGGGGTTTAGCCGTTCTACGCATTCCTCGACTAGAAGCGATTTGGTCTCCTAGGATGAGATCGCTTTTAGCGCCGCTTGACTATTACTGAGAATAGCTATACGCTGATTGCGATAGTTGAGGCTGAGGTTGACTTCACCACACTGACAAAAATATCTAAAACTTCTGCCTGGAAGATACTTGGGAAGCTGCCCATAAGTATGGACAGCTTGGTACGCGGTCCCACATAACTGCCCCAATACCTACCGGTGTTTTTGAGCCATCAGTGTACCACTGAATGGTGCTGTCTTCCAGCAGCCTTTCCAGCGCGAAATCACTCCACACCGTCTTGCTGCCTAGAGTGACTTTGAAGTTCTTCTTGAAGTTTATTTTCTTTGTGGTGTTGTCCTTAGGGAGGAGGGCTGGCGGTGTGCTCTCCGCTAGTTCGTCCATCTGTCTAGAGGACATTACCTTCCCTCTTCCACAGACTTCTGCTGACATTAGCAGCATGGTGTACTTTGCTGCTAGCTTGATCACCTGATGCAGCGGTGTGAGCTCTAGTATAACTTCCAGTGTCACCGTGGGTCATGTGCTCATTGCCCCTGAAGCACAGACACATGCAAGTCTTTGCAGCTTTGACAGTCTCCGAATCACTGAAGACTGCGATGCTTTGGTAGCCCAGGCAACCGCTCCATAGGTGACGATAGGCCTTATAGGCCTTACTATCATGGTATACAGCCATCTAATAATAATTGGCTTGCATCCCCTGCCGGCCAGGCGTCTACAAATCATAAGTGCTCTAGTTGCTTTGGACAGCGTTAGGTCCAAATGCCTGCTCCACCCTAATGATGAGTCTAAGGTGAGGCCCAGGAATTYGACCTCCTTAGACATTACCACCTCTGTGCCTCCAATTGTTAGGGACCTTAGGCCCGGAAGAGATCTCCGCTTAGTGAATGGGATCACGGTGGTCTTTGCTGCGTTTATATTTAGCCCTACCCTGTTGCACCATCCTTTCGCCAAGTTTAAGCCCCTTTGAAAAATGTCGCAGAGAGTGTTCTCAAATCTGCCTCTCGTCATTATGACAATGTCGTCCGCGTATTCTTGACAGCGGATTCCATTGCTGGTGAGAGGCTCGAGTAGTTCGTCTACTATTGGGGTCCATAACAGAGGGGATAGTACTCCACTTTGTGGGCAACCCCTTGTGGTGCCAAGGCGAATCCTACTTTCTCCCACTGTTGTTTCTGCTACCCTAGTGCGCAGAAGGGCTTCYATCCATCTGCGTATCGGGGTGGGTACGTTCCTTCTCTCMAGTGCCTTGATAACGCTAGTG